AGTAACTTGTTACAAACAAATGAGTAACGATTTGATGGATTCGAATATTGGGAATTTTAACTTTGAAATTTTCGAATTTTCATTCAATTCAACCAAATTTTTCGACGAGAAAAAAAACTAACGAGTAAAAGGTTATTTCGAAATGCGAAATTATGAGAAAAGTACAGGACGATATCTCACGCACGGTGTAATGTACGGGAGAAGTTCATTGACTGAATAATCGAGTAACTGTAAAATATTAATTAAGATTTAATACGAAAGAATCGGGTTCACCTAATTTCTATCGTGCATTAATTCTTTCTGTTCGATCTAAGATTAAGCTTGCGAATATGCAGACAATTCAGTTTCTTCAATTATGTGGATTCAATTACAACGTGCACTTTCTAATGAGTTGATCTCTGCTCTATTTTCACAGAGACATAGAGTTCGTTTAAAACTTCACGTTGTCGTTAATCAATCCTGATATAATTAAAGATAATAGAGCATTATTAATTTGTCATTCTATCCGTTCAACTTCTTTGTTTACTCGATTGATTATTATTCATAGATTCGGAAAATCGAGGTAAATAATAGTATTGAACTTAGGCATGTTTGTGCAAAGATAATCAAATTAATCCGCCATTCGATTGTTTAGAACGATTGTTTTTATTAAATATGCTTATTTATATTCTCCATTAAATTGTTTTATTGAAATTATGGAAAATTAATTAGATTCTCGTTCGATAATAAATCGTCGATCGATTCAAATTCAAAATTTATTGAAAATACCGTGTCAATCGTTATTATTATTATTACTTTTCCTTCAATTCTCTCTCTAAAATTATTAATTGTCATTTTTCGATCCAATCGAACATAAATATATATATATATATTTATAGAAGGCCCCAGTTTCTAATTAAAATTTACACCGCTCGAAAGTCTCTTCCTATTTTGGGATAACGTGTCATAAACTTGCAAGAGTGCCGGAAGTCAAACTGGAACTTGTAATAGCAAAGGTGATTTGCTAAATCAAGACCTCGCATGACGTCTCCCTTTTAATATTTATATCCCGCCGAATTTAGAAACTTGGGAAACTTTACATCAGAAAATATTCTTCGATCCTTTCCCTCTTCTTTTTTTTTTTTTTTTTTTTAATAAAAATCGTTGGGAATAATTCCCCTTTACACTTCACAACGCTTCTGCGAACGCTTTCCACACTATTTCCTGTTTGCAAATCTCGCTGAATGCAAGAATAACTTTCTCCTCGATCGTGGTATCATCCGTCTTCCATCACCTTCCATGGCCATTCGCCTACCTCTTTTCAATAATCCCCCTTTTCAAAACGTGGAATATTATTTTAAAAGAATCACAGAGAAATTCTTAAAGATTAAGTTTGCAGAGATATAATCGCACGCTTCTTGTAAAAATCTCAAATTCTCGTCCATTCATCGTCATCGATCGAATCGAAAAAAGAATATTCTCAAAGTTTGAACGCATCATCCCCTCCCCTCCCCTCCTCTTCGATTGATCCGTCGAGTTCGATGAATGCTTTCGCGTGCACGCACGCACGTGCGTACGCCTCTATCGTTAATAATACAGTTATGGAACGAGGTTCGTGCACGAGGTGGATATTAGTGGCTCGCCAGTAATGCCGTGCCACGCGTATGAATCGGCTACGATAAACGCTACGTTAAAGTTATGCGATACGAACGTTGCATACTGCACGACCCTTTAACGCGCCGACGGTACGAGCAATCCTATTGTGCCATGCTTCCAAAATTGTTCTCCAAACTGTCAATTGCGATGTCCCTTCGGAACGGAGTTTAATTCGATCGAAGAATAAAACGGGTTCGAATGAACTCGTGGCTTTTCGTTTCGAGAAAGATCGATTACGATCGATGGAGTTTCCGTTTTTTGTTCCGATTCAGATTCGTGGATTATGGTAAATTTGATGGAATATCATTTCGAGAGATGATAGATGTAGATAAATTTTGTTGTAAAAATTTATATTGGTTTCGAGATGCGCTGTATGAGAAAGGATAGTATGATATTTGTACTTAAAAGTGATTTTTCTTTTTTAATGATAATTCGTATGAAAGTACGGTTTTTGATTTTAAATGCTCTATTTTCGATTAAGTTGGCGTTAAATTGACTTTGTATATAATTTTAAAAATTTTTCGCTCTGTGAAAATGTGATATTAATTTTATTTTCAAATTAGTTTTTCTAATTTCTTTTAGATTCCTCAAGGTGTTGAAAATATAATAGATAAGAAGCAAATTTGAACAATTTTCCAATTCTAGGACTCCAGAATTTTATGCAACCGGAATAACTTGTTTCTCGTTGGCAAAATTGATTGCAATAGTCTTTATTTTGATTAAGTTTTGTTTGAGACGTGTGCATTTGAATTTAATAATTAAAAACCGCAAGAACTTTCTTTCCAATTTAATATAATGTTGAATATTTATTATATGTGTATTCAAGTATAGAATATGCAAAAAAAAACAAATACAAAAAGAGAATATAAATAAGATTCATCGATTTTTTAATTAATAATTAAAAATGATTCTGAGGAAGATAAATAAAATAGGGAGAAAATAATTAAATTCAATCTCGATTATGAAATATTACAGATGATAATTTACGATCCTCTAACTTTTTAATCGTATTATTTTTTAACAGCTCTTGGTTAAAAATCCTTTTCCCTATTTCATTTTTCGTAACAATTCTCTTCACGTTTTTTAGACGAAAATGAAAAATCTACTATACGCCTACCGGCGCATCTCGTTAAAGCGTTTACCTTTATGCGAGATCTTCCAAACGAGAATGGGGTCATTAAAGAGAGCTGAATAATTAATTTATCTCGATATGCTTCTCTCTCGCTTCTTCTCCCTATTATTCATAAATTTTATTTGACAATTTATTTAATTGCAAAAAAAATTGCTTATTAAATTACAATTAAAAAGAAATAAATAAACATTCGTTATTTAAATAACAACGAAATGTTATTAAATATATATGATATATACATATTTATGCAATTTATAATTTAATCTCGCTATCTAAAACTCGATTAAACTTTAAAATTTAAGATAGATATATATAAAGAGAAAATTAAAGTGTATAAAATAAAGAGAAAGATAATCTTTAATTATTTACTATCTTCAATATCTATATCGTTTATTCGAATCTCTCGCTCTTCACTGACCTACCTCGATCCCCCGGATAAGTGAAAGTCGCGATTCCTGGAAAAACGTAGTGTATAATTCTTAGAAAATCGTGATAATTTCCAAGAAAAAATGCAGGTCACTGGGTCATGGGCCCATTCGTAATCTCTGCACCGTCTTAAACGCCACGAACGATTTGATTCTTGTATCTTGGCAACCAATTGAAAAATAAAGAGATAAAAGAAAAAGCAGAAAGATTTCTGCTTGGTACGATTTTCTCTATTTTCTTAGTAGATTTTGATTTCGATAAAATCTTTAGCTTCTTCTTCTACGTTTTTCTTTTATATATATATATATATATGAAAAATCAAAGTTTCGTTTAACTTTGCGTTAACTACGCGATGTTTTATCGTTAGATAAAAATTCTAATTGTTAATGTTTAAAGCGTCGAATAGGAACGCAGACGCGATAAAGCAAGAAACAGTTTTAGCACGAATTAAGCCTTCGACATACTCCGATGACCCTATCGTAATGCTGGCTATGATCCAGACCCATTCAGGGCACCAAACGAGTTTGATACCAACGAAACAGATTGTGAGGAACAATCAGTCCACTGTTACTGACATGAAGCATTCAAGGAATGTTTCTCGTAAATTAACGCTAAATAGGTTCCCAGCTTTATTAATCATCTTTAATATACCAAGTGGATATAATATTTTAGAAAAAAAAAAAAGAAAGTTTCGATGTTTTTTAACGACCGTGCATGAAATCTTCTGTCGAGTAAATTAACATCTTAAAGAAATTCCTTTCGTTCTCATGTAATTCACAAATCATAGAAAAAAAATCTCACAATCGTCATTTCACACATTCTAATTAAGAAAAAGACTTAATGTTCACAAACTTAATTTAATCCAGTCAATTAATAAATTACACAATCACAATTCAATTAATCCATAAATAATATCCTTTCACAATTATATTTACATCTTCAAATTCACTTCCAAATCCATCCAATTCTAATTTAAGAATCCCTAAACCAAAAATTTACAATGAATCCACAAGTAATATAAAATATTTCCAAATCCATCCAATTTCAATTCAAGAATTCCTAAACCAAAAATCAATCTATAAACAATACAAAACATTTCCAAATCCCAATTCTTAAGATTCCAAAAAAAAAAATACTTACTTTTTTAACAATTTACAATCAATCCACTAAGCACTTCTAAATCCCAACTCTCAAGATTTTCTAACCAAAAAAAAAAAATACTTATTCTTTCAATATTTTACAATCAATCCACTAAGCACTTCTAAATCCCAACTCTCAAGATTCTCTAATAAAAAAAAAATACTTACTCTTTCAGCAATTTACAATTAATCCACAAAACACTAAGTCCCAACTCTCAAAATTCTCTAACCAAAAAAAAAATACTTACTCTTTCAACAATTTACAATTAATCCATAAAGCACTTCTAAATCCCAACTCTCAAGATTCTCTAACCAAAAAAAAAATATTTATTCCTTCAGCAATTTACAATCAATTCACAAAACACCTCCAAATCCCAACTCTCAAGATTCTCTAACCAAATAAAATAAAATACCAATCTCCAAAGAAACGGACAATCCACACTCCAATCAATCCACAATCCAAATCAAATCCACAAAACACCGTCACAATTCTCTTCCGCTTCTCTTTCGCCACCCAGAAGAATCCAATCCGAAGAATCCCGTAGCCAACGAGAGGAACGAGACTGCCCCCTCCCCTCACCCAGCCGATGATCGTCCCCGATATCCGGGGACCTTGAACGTCTAGCTAGCGGCGCGTAAAGCGGAATTGCGTCATTGTTGCAGGCGAGGAAGTCGTAACCGTGCCTCCGGCGAGCGGAGGTCAGGACAGTTGGAAAGTGCAGAGGCTCTCGTTGGGCGGGGAATCGGCGAGCAATCGTCGTAAAGGCTGCCGTCCCCAATTGCAGGCGGGGAGCAAGCGCGCGAGGCCGCCACCGCCGATACCCGGCTTATCCTGCAAGGCCAATGCCAAGGACGTGGACGGATACCCGGACCACTGGCCGAACAAGGAGAACACGCCCGGAAATGCCGTGAACAACGGCGAGGGAACGACCACCGAGGCGCAGCTCGAGAAGAACGGTTCGAACATGGGCTCGAATTTGAGCCGGCACAACGGCAAGGGCCTTACGGGGCGGAGGACCCAGTCCTCCGGCAATTTGTGCGATCCAAAAGGGAAGTTGAACAGTATGGGGAAGATATTGGTCCCGTGTTCCAGCGCGCAGAGAGAGAGGTGAGTCTTTTCATTATTTATTTATTTATTTATTTATTTTCTTGTCGGGTGGATTCGCGAAAGGGAGAATTTGGAACGAATGATTTGGAGAGGAGATTTTTAGAGTTGTTGCGTAGTTTTTTTCTTTTCTCTTTTTTTTTCGATAGAGCATTGTGATTTTGGATAAAAAAGGATCGTTTTAAAGCGACTTATCGTTATGATTTGGAGAGAAGATTTTTAGAGTTATTGCGTAGTTTTTCCTTTTCTCTTTTTTTTTTTTTCTATAGATTGTGATTTTGGATAAAAAAGGATCGTTTTAAAGCGATTTATCGTTATGATTTGGAGAAAAGATTTTTAGAATTATTGCGTAGTTTTTTCTTTTCTTTTTTTTTTTTCGATAGAGCATTGTGATTTTGGATAAAAAAGGATCGTTTTAAAGCGACTTATCGTTATGATTTGGAGAAAAGATTTTTAGAGTTGTTGCGTAGTTTTTTCTTTTCTCTTTTTTTTTCGATAGAGCATTGTGATTTTGGATAAAAAAGGATCGTTTTAAAGCGACTTATCGTTATGATTTGGAGAAAAGATTTTTAGAGTTGTTGCGTAGTTTTTTCTTTTCTCTTTTTTTTTCGATAGAGCATTGTGATTTTGGATAAAAAAGGATCGTTTTAAAGCGACTTATCGTTTGACAATTGGCGATAAATTGTATTTTTTTTTGTTTAATTATATAGAATTAGAATGTCGTATGGATTGGAATCTGAATTTATGGAAAATCCTCGTTTCAAAAATATTTTTTAAAATAAACAAGCAATAGCGAGCCGTCAAAAATATACTTTGGATTTACAATGCTTTCGATTCGTTTTTATCTGCTCTCTGAATGTATTTTTAAATTTTTTTTTTTTTGATTTTACAAATCGTTGAGAAATAGCGATCGTATACAGTGATTAAAGCTTGCTGTGCAAAGTGGTATAATTAGCTAGTAATTGAGTGCTAATGGAGTTCGTGCTTTAATGTATTTACTGCTTCTTGGAAGGGTTTAGAGAAACTTTTTTTTTAAGATTTATCGTAATTACTACCTTAAATGCTTTCCTCCAATTTAATGCGATTTAATGGTAATTTTTAATGTATCAATAACAATTCAATATTTTTAACTCATCATTGTATAGTGAAGTTCAATTCGATTAAAATACATATTTATTCAAACGATCTTTTTATGCAAAATGGATCAACATTTTTTATCTGACAATACATTATTCATAAATAGAACTTAAATTTATATACTTGATAAAATACTCGTATTTAACGACGGTATTTCAACGATAAAAATCACTAAGAAGAAGATAAAAATAATATATCGAATCGAGAGGAAAATACCAATAATAAATTAATAAATTCTAATAATTCTGAAAAACACCAACTTGAAACCAACGTGTCGATAATATAAATTTTCCCCAAAAATGTCTGGAGGAAGAAACGTCTTCAGACGTTTAAGCGATTTTTCGTGTTTCTAATTTCTCTTTCCAGCTTCCTTTGCTCCCTGTGCCAAGAGCAAACAGAATTTAATTTAGCGATAAAGCAAGGTGGATACAAAAGATCCTCCGCTCGATCGAGATAAAGGAGAGGAGAGATGAATTCGGCGATCGATTCTTCCCCGCCTATATATATATATTTCTAAGCCGTGTCCGCCTCAAGTTTGAATAGATTGTTGATACACACTGTATCGGCCCAAACAGAGAGGATTCTAATTAATATTCAGTCAATGTTTGCCTTACGTTCAATCGTATAACGCGGGTTTAACGCGCTTGTCAAACCTGTGTCTCGATCGTGTTAGCACGGGAAGAACGTGATCGGCGAAATGAAAGCCGATCGAAATATATCGAATCACTTCAAAGAATCGCTTTCACCATTAATCCACATATTAATTAATCAATTCTGCAAGGGAAAATTAAAAGTTTGTACGAGCTTTTGTACTTTGAATGGTAAATCATTTATTCCATTTTCGTTTTCACCATCATTTTTTAAACAATAAACTTAATTAGGTTTAAATCTTTTAAATTTATTTCTCTATTCGCGTATCTGTATCACAAGATTTATACGTTTTATAAAATTTTATTTATTTAAATAAACACGCGTGAATTGACAAACAGATCAATTATTTAGTGAATATAATTATATTCGCAGAAATTTTATTTTACAAATATCGATCTTATAATTGAAATTTTCACTTCACTTTCGCGCAAATTTCTTTTTTCCCCGCGCTCGAATTTTTCCAAAAGTTCAACGATCCGAACTGAACTGTCGTCTTTTAAATTCCGACGCGATTGAAATCGCTACGAGACTATTTCTTTTTTTCTCGTTTCTTCCAGAGGGAGGATAGGAGGGATGTACACACACGCAAGTTTATATCTATTAAACCGTGAACATTACATTATTCGCGAGGAGTTAAAATTCTAAGGCGGAAACGCGTCGTAATTAAATCCAGCCGGAAGATGAGGTGGTAAAGATAGCAGGTAGTTTCGCACGAATGAAATCCCTTTTGTCCCGACAACAAAATTCTTCCACGCAATAAAATCTGGCTGCATTAAACCAGCATATTTAGTTACGTTGGACGATTACACCGATAACACGACGAAGGAAACGACGTTTAATGGGACGTTCAAAGGGACAAAAAACGAAGTTAATTCGTTTGCCTTTGGAGATGCGTAATTAGCGGAATTACAATTTCAAGTGGTACGCCAAGATTGTGCTTTGTGACGATACAAAGTTTGTCGTAATTTCGTAAGGTTTCGTAAACGAAACGAAAATTTGTACGTATAATTTTTAATTTACTCAACGAAGAAATTCTTTCGATTCTAATTTTTAAAGACAAGTTTTTATTTATATTAATGAACAGGTTTATAATTTAGATTTAATTTTGAGAATGATTTTACAGAGAATTCGGAATTCGTTGGTGGTATTTCTGAATAAATGAAGAATCCTGTTTCATTATTACAGAGCTGAGTGTTGTTAATTTTTCAGGATTACTCGAATAGAATGTGAGATGGTTCGTGAAAAATTTCTATGGATATTATTTTAATGAAACGAAAATTAATGATTTTCAACGGTTCAATTATCAATGGTAATTTTCATTTGAAAAAATTAACGCGATATGACATGTATATTTTTCATTCTGTAAAAAATAATGTTTCTCTCTTTCTCTCTCTCGTTTGTTACACAAATTATTTGAACAAATTTTTATCAATCTAGTTTTTCCATAATCTTTTTTTCTTTCGCGTGATTCATAATCGAATAAAAATATTTTCACCTTTAAATATAAATTTATCGAAATATTATTTTTCGAAGCGTGTACCTTTCAATTCTGGTTATCAAGCGAGAGAAAATCTAAGCGATTATATGGATCACGATAAATTATAATTTCGTGAAGCGGAATGCCGATAACAGATTAATATATATAGGCATATTTTACGGAGTTGTAATTATCTCATGTCCAGTATAAATATTATAAAATTAATTACAAGTCGATTATCGTACAGCTATCGAACGTTAACAAATTCGAAATTAACGAGTATCTGTCAATAATTTAGTCTCGTTTTTTCGTATTGTTCAAGCTTGATGATAATATAATTTATAATTTCACTCACAAAATTTTTTTCAAATGCCAATTTCCTAGAACGATTTAATCATTTCAGGACGAATATTTCTTTCTTACTTATAAAAGATTTGAAAAAAAAGAAAAGTTGTTTATTGAACAACTATCGAACATTAACTCGAAATTAACGAGTATCTGTCAATAATCCAGTCTCGTTTTTTCGTATTATTCAAGCTTGATGATATCTTTAATATGATTTATAATTTCACTCACAAAATTCTTTTCAATCAATGCCAATTTCCTAGAACGTATTTAATCATTTCAGGACGAATATTTCTTTCCTACTTATAAAAGACTAAAAAAAAAGAAAATACAACAAAATGAAATCTCCTGTCGATATGACAAATAACATTTGAAAATTGAGTGTAAATGCACCAACTTGTCCAAATTAAGCAGACGCGAGAGGGCGACAAATAATAATAAATGAAGGTAAATGAATCGAGGTAAACAGTGCGCGTAAGCCTCGACTCCTTTCTGGGGATTTCTCGTTACGAGGCGGTGTTCAGTGTTGCTTAAACAACCAACAACGACGTATATAACAGCGTTGGCCGCGAGATAATTTAAAGTCCCTTTAAGGTCGGTCAGTCGGGGAACTGGGGCGGTTTCCATTAAATCCTCGTTTGCGCGAGAACGGATGCGAGTTGTGAGGGAAACAGGGATGAACGGAGGGGTAAAAAGCAGAAGGGGAGAACGGGTTAAAAGGCCCTCGAATCTTGATCTCATTTGCGTAAGTGCTGTTGTTCAACCGTGCAACCGATATTGAACGGTATAAATTCTTTTCCCTGATCTCTTGGCAAGAAAAATAATTCGGATGGAAAGAAAGAATCTTTGTATCTTTGCGTGTGGCGTCAGAGAAAACGCAAGGTTCGCTTCTCTCGAGTTGGGGAATAAAAATTTCTAAGAAACTCGTATCGTAAGAAAATTGATCGATTTTTGTTAAAAAATTCCATTTCTTTCGTTAAAATTTTAAAATATGTAGATACATTACAAAATACAATCCTCTTGAATGAAAACAATATCAGATCATTGATCAGCATTGAACATTTTAAAAAGTTTGGTCTAAGCTTCAATAAATATTTCAAAGGAATAATAATTCTCCTCTGTAATTGAAACGAACGTTTGTCGATCTGAAAAAAAACCAGAGCCACAAAATCGTAGAGGAAACACAAAAATGTATTACTAAAACTACACAAAAATATATTACGACTGATAAACTATCGAAGTATTAAAGGAAAATTGTTACGAGCGCTCGTAAAGTCGCGGTTGATTAAAATCTCTCCTCGTTATAATTTGTCCCAAGGACTGTAGATACGCGTAGATACTTGTGCACTTGACGACGAATATAATATTACAAACGGTGTCACGCGCAAACGGCGGGGAAACTTGTATGTTGTTGCGAAACAGCGCATCATGGCTGACAGACACTACGAGTTAAACGCTATCGACGACACGAAACGAAACAAAACGAAAGATTTCGATTTTATGGATATTATCTTTCAAAATTTGATCGAAAGTAACATTGTTTGTAGCATTGTTTCGATTTCAGAAGGCGATTACAGGAAGCAGAATTACAGGAACATTTTAGAAAATTATTATCTTCTGGATTTCGAAAATCGATTATTTAAAGAAACAAAAATTAGAGAATAATATTTTAATCGAAGAGCTCCCAATTTTTGAATGAAGAAGAATCTTCGTCGTCAATTTAAACTTTCCCTACTTTATATATATATCGATAAAATCTCGTACACGTGTTATCTAATCCGGTAAAAGTGAACAAACACGGAACTAAATTATGCAAACATGGACTGCGTTTTCGTGCAACCTCTACCCTTCTCGTTCAACCCCAAATTTAAAGGATACTGTTGTTTGAATTAGAATAATTGGTTGCTACTTCGTATAGAAAATTTTAATCGTATATTCGTGATACGTAGAAAATATAATCTTATACAATATACAATGTTCTTATTTCTAAAACTTTTATATATATTCGCCATTTTTAAAAAGTCTTAAAAATTGTCTCTGAAAAATTAAAATATCTTCGCGGGGAAAAAACTGAGAACGAGCGTTCGCCTCTTTTCAGATACAAATTCTGTGGCTCGTTGCCCAATCATCTGGACGACAAGGACGCGTTGGACGACGATCCGAAGGAAAATAATAACGTAATGACGGATACGATCAGTGGGAATCTTGGCGGAACATTGCCGCACAAGAAACGATCGTTGGGCGTGCATTTCTCAGACGGAGGGCCAACCGGTACTCTGGACCTCGTGAAACATCGATCCCAAGATTCTTTGGATGAAAACGATCCTTGGAGGTATGCCATCAGTCATCTCTGTCAGCTTATCTTCCTCTTATTATGCATTCGCATAAACGTGTACGAGGTTGGATAAAATATTAAATATGCACAGTGTCGAAGACTTGAAAGTAGTATAAATTGCATTTGTTATAATAAACTTGAAATCTTTTGCCATAGAATTGTATATAAAATTGTATATTGTAAAAATTTTGCAATTTAAAATGAAATACATATATAATTACCAGCTAGAGTTCGAGCATTGTAGTTGTGCGTAGAGTTAATAGATATATTGGATGAATGTTCGTTTTGTTATAGTAATAATTTTCATCGAGATTAACGTCGTACGAAAATTATTTACAAATAATCCCACGTATTTGTTTTACACCTTAAACAGCGTTCCAAGAAATAACCAAGCCGATATAAATTGATCAAAATCCCATCTCCACTATACTGAACTACGAATAATTGGTTGTTGCAGGTATCAGCAAAGCGATCTCGATCTGGTGCGATGCCGTCACGGTAATTTCGACTCGGTGAGAAGAAATCGGAATGCCGAGACGATGTCCGGCGATTCGGGGAGAAGGTATGCGCGAGGCACGTCCCTGGAGGACAGATGTCACCGAAATTCGGAGCTCGATCTGGTGGGCACGCTGCCGAAACGGAAGCAGGACACCAGAAACGGTGGGGGGAAGGGTGGGACGAACGTGGAAACGAACTCTTCGTCCTCCCAACCGTGCGTCCCAGACGCGGCCGACAACGATCTACTGATGCAGATCGTGCACAAGCCCGATTGCGAGTTGGTCAGGCATCGGCAACAGCTCGGCAAGTGCATCGATTTGAAGTTGAGCAAACTGGCCGGCGGGGAACCGCAGGATCAAGGTTACGCCTCGGAACGGTCCCCGGAGGACGAGCATCCGCCCTCTTTGCCGGGCCAACCCTTCCCAAATATCACGCCTGGTGAGTTTAAATTTTATATTTTTCATCCTTCAGTGTTAGTTTCAAGTTTCAAGTTCGGATAAAGATCGATAGATCGTAATATATAATTTAAAGTTGTGACATTTTCTTCATATCATAGGATGATGGAATATTAAAATATTTGGTAACGTTTTATTTACGTAGAAAAGGTTGATGTATTCGAAAGATTGCGATAGAATTGTCTCATCAACATTTTCGTACGTGATCTTTCGTAGTTTGATGTGATTTCTTCATAAATGTTCAATATATTCTATATTGAAGTTTATGATAAAAGCAATTTATAATTGGAATTTATAATTTGAAAGGAAATAGTAGATAAAATTGTACGCTTTGGTTGCGCAAAATTTCAATAAATAGCGAAATCACGTTAAACTGCAAACAAAAAAACACGATCCTTATGTTAATTCATCAAACGTAAATCTATTTTTATGCTTTTCCCCTAGTTTTTTTGTTTTAG